TCATAAGCGATGGGCCAGCCGCAGACCCTATAACCGATGACCACCGATGCCGAGCTACGACCTCTCCTCCCGCCCTTCAATTGTTCAATTGTTGCGAAGACGACAATGCTCTTGGCATCATAAGCGGTGGCCCAGCCGCAGTCCCTATCGCCGATGACCACCGCCGCCGAGGGACGTCCTCTCCTCCCTCTCTTCAATTGTTCGATTGTTGTAAAGACGACAATGCTCTTGGCATCATAGGCAGTGGCCCAGCCGCAGACCCTTTCGCCGATGACCCCCGCCGCCGAGGTACGACCTCTCCTCTATCCCTTCGATCGTTCAATTGTTTGTGAAGTAGCTGCCGTATAATTAAGGAGAGTCTTCCATGTCAGCCCTTGATGATACTGACTACTCTGTAAACGGAATCGGCGACGGTGAATCATCCGACTGCCATCAAGTTCATGCCGGGGAGTCGAGCAGAGGAGACTTGTACGACGAGGAATCGAGCGACGGCTTCGATGTCTACGAGTTGATAGGTCGTGATCTCAGACGAGCTTTAAATTTCGGTGAGCCGAGCTCGAGTCGTGGAAGCGACGACCTCGAGAGCTCGGTACCTCCTTCAGTCGAACCTCCTGCCTCCGTTGCATACCCGAGCCTCTTTTACTCCTATCCGTCCGACGTTGCATCCACCGACTCACAAGATCGTTTGCCTTCTCACTCCGTTCCTGATGTAGCCTATTATTACGATATATTCTGCCCTCACCTCAACCCATACCCATCTTCTCACTACTACATTAGCCGCCCGAGAGCTAAAGAATTAGTCCGGCAGTCGCTGCTCTACTATGAAAGTATTGACCTTTCGGCAGTCATGGCAACATCCTCCTGCTTTTTGTGCTCGGGACGTCCGATAGTGACTCGCGAAGTTCGGGAACAACCACCATGTAGTCGATGCTTCCAGGAATTCTTGGATGGTAGAGAACCTGAGATCACCCAGAAAGTCCTTGCTGGATTTCTTCGGTGCTCGGTGTACGACATGATGATGGACTGCAGAGGAAGCGATTTCATACTGAAACTGTTGCGCGTCGCCGATGATGTACAGCGGAGGCAAATGGAGGATTACGTTAGGAAGGATCATCGCATGCTTCTCAAGGTTGCCAAGGATTCCTCCGGGTAATGCTCCTCCTCAATCTTGGATCTCAAGAACTACATGTTGAGGGGATGCTGACGAATTTGGTTGCTTGATTTCCTTTTGGTTTCAGGAGTGAGTGTGTGAAAGAACTCGTCAAGATCCTCAAGTTTCCAGTAGGGAAGGCTCTCAAGTGTCATGTTAAACAACTTATGACCTGTAAGAACGGGAAATCTGTGGTTGATTGCTGCTTGGAACATCTGAATTACGAAGCCAATAAGGTCTGCATTCAAGCTAAAAGTAGCGATTATTGTGGTTTTTTTGCATTGGCCATGACATTTATATGCCAACAGGTCTTCATTCAAGCTGCTCTGAACTCTTTTACGGAGTTGGCATCAGACAAATGTGGCTGCTTGGCCCTTGTGAGCTGCATGGATTACTCGATGAATCCTCACAGGAACCTGTTGCTGAAAAAGACTACAGATGATGCAATTGGACTCTCTTGCCACATTTATGGGTACAGAAGAACATCAGACATATAGATAGATAGATAGATAGATACTCTTAGTGATCTTTAATTCTTCTGGTCTTCTCTGCTGCAGAAACTATGTTGTGCAATGTGCCCTGAACATGAATGTGGCTTGGGCAGCGGAGACGATATGTGCTGATCTCGCAGGAAGCTTGATGGAGCTATCGGTGCACAAGAATGGCAGCTACGTCGTGCAGAGATGCCTCGAGTCGTCGGGGCGGCACCACATAATCCGAGGGTTGGATTGTCTAAGCCAGGGAGAGCTCGAGGACATGCTTCAACATTACTACGCCAACTACGTGCTGAAGACTGCATTGGCGTTCTTCAAGGTGAAGCCACTTTCTCCTCACAACCCATCTCTCGCTCCGTTAAAGCTGTCTCTTACCGCGATCTTTTTGCAGAGAGGTTGTCCCTTTTACCGGAGACTGCTCGATCGCCTTGAACGGCTCGTGCTCCCGTATAAGAATCACATACATGCGAGTAATGTGTACAAGTGTATCGTGGACATCAGAAAGCGCTCCGTCTGAGAGGGAGATGAAGCTGCCGAGTCATCTTTTTCTTGGGTTCTGTAGATGTGTTTGCAGAGTTTGGTGTCTACTTCTCTCTATCTCTCTCTCTTCTATGGTTGTTTTTGACGTGTGAGGCTGCTGCTTTTAGTGTATTTGTTTTCCCCTTCCATTTTGTTGTTTCCTGGTAACGAAAGGAGCGTCTGCTGTAGTTGTTTCCTTGCCATTTGATACTGTATTTTTACTTCAATGAGCAAAAAAGAGGGGAATTGATACTTAGTGCAGTGATGGAGGTGACATCTTCCGATCCCAAACATCTCTATGCAGGATTACACGTATTTATGAGGTATGCATCTAAGAAAATAATGTTCATCGATTAAAGAACATGTTTAAAAAGTGCAACAATACTAGTAGTAAAAGGCAAATTTATCATGGCAAAGAGATAAAAGATTCTACTTGGACTTGGTTATATCATCATCACTTTGTATCTCCAGATTACTACCAGTCTGTTCTTCCCTCTGTGCACAGCTACAGAGAAATAATCCCGGGGTTGAGTGACGAACAAATACAGATGTTGATATGATAAATATTTCACTAAATCCGGTCAATTTCGACAAGTTTCTTCTATAGGGAACATTTCCTCGACCAAACCTATTATTTTTTATCCTTTTTTATCCTTCCATGGAGAGAAGATGGCGGTTGCAGATCTTTTTCAGGGACTCAGCGAGTTTGACGTCGCCAAGGATATGAACTGCCGACGTGGCTGTGCGACATTGGTGCTGGGCGAGACAAACCAGCTCCTCCGGATTCTCACTATATCTTGGTGTCGGAGGAGAACCAATGGTGTTCCTGCCGACGTGGCGTTCTCGACATCCACTAGTTCTTCTTCCTCTCTCTTATTAATGGATGCAGTCGCTTCTTCCTCCTCATCGCGGCATCAGCACTCGACTTCAGTCCGGGAAGGCTTCCTCATCGGTACTCCAATGGCTACCTCCGCGCTCCAGCAATCGGCTTTCGCCGGCCAGACCGCTCTGAAGCAGCAGAACGAGCTCGTCCGCAGGGTCGGCTCCTCCAGAGGCCGCTTCTTCATGCGCCGCACGACGGCGAGCACCCCCAAGAGCATCTGGTGTGCACTCTCTCTCTCTCTCTCTCTCTCTCTCTCTC